ACCCCTTCCCCACAAGGCCCCGCCCTTGCACCACCCCTTCCCCACAAGGCCCCGCCCCACAGTCACTCACCCTTACAGCTGGTAGAAAGTGATGGGGCCCTGACCTCCTGCCCCCACCCCATTCTAGGACCCCTGAGGGAGGCTACATCCCTCTTGGATTTGTCATGATGCAAATATCCCCAGTTTGCAGATGGGGATAGCTACACTGAGACATTAAATAATCTTCACATTCACAGCTCTGGGTCCGGGTATTGCAGTATCCTCCTGCGATCAGGAGGAATGTTGCTCTGTCGTGAGTCTACGACATTAGGATAACAAAGAAACCCTTAGACCGACCATCAGAACCCTCTTGCCAAATACTTCAGATAAGAGATTAGCGTCTAGACAAGGAGGAGGGTCCGGTGGATAGCACACTAACCTGGAGACTCTGAAGACATGGGTTCAATTCCCCCCCTTGTCACCATCTCCCTATCTGACCTTAGGCAAATCACTTGATCTTTGTGCCTTGGTTTCCCCATCCGCAAATGAGGATAATGGTGCTACCTTGCCACACAGGTGTGTTGGGAGGGAAAATACATGGGATTGTAAGGAGCTCAGATTGTCTGGTAATGAGGGCTAGGCAAGTCCCTAAGACAGAGAGAAGTCAAGGGAGCAGCTGATAGCTGCAGGACCCAGAGGCCTGATCTGATTCAGGAGGAGGAGAAGCCTAGAGTATCATTACTGAACGTCATAGCAAAAAGGAAATCCAGTTACTCAGGGCTAAGCTTCTCCTTCCGTCTCCCTTTATAATCCGTTACATCTGAACTTTAAATGGGGGGTGGGGTGGAACCGAAACTGGCTTTTATAAAACTTACTGAACTGCTGTGTTCTCACCGAGAGGAGCCAGCGGAGATTAGAGGCAGCTGGAAGCCAAGTTACCAATCCACAGGAAAAAAAGGGACCTTTATTGAGACAGAAACTTCTCCCGTCTGACCTTTCCACAAAGCGGAGCCGTACTCCAGGCCAGAGGCCAAGCTTTGTCTTGCTATCGTGGAAAGGGCCAAGAGCAGGCATTGAATGTCTTCACTTGGGAATTCGAGGTTATTCTGTTTCTGAAGGGGCAGAGACGGGGGACTATAGTCTACAGTTGTCTGTGCCAACTGGGCAGCAGGCTGGCAGGGTTTGAAGGAGACAAAAGACTCTTTTCTATGGCGCTGCAGAAGCCATGCACTTTCAAATGTCAAAGGTAAGTTACCAAAACCAAAGACAAAACCCAATCTTAGGAACTTATCTGGCCCCCGTCACTGTTGTATCTTTATTGTATTTATCCTCGCAGCACTTCAGTGCTGTTCCGCTCCCTTTTACAAATGGGGAACGGAGGCAGAGGACAGGTCTACATGAGACAAGGTTTTCCAGTATACTACGCTAGCACCGTGGACGGACCTCACGCTGGCAAAACTGTGCTTTGGGCAGTATAGCCGACTCCAGCCCTTCTGAACAAAATGAGATAGATCAGCAACGCTGTGCTTTTACCAGTACGTCAGTCACAAATCACGCCTCCTCACGTCCCGGACTCAAACAGCTATGCCAGCAAAAGTTTAAGGTGTAGAACGGACACTAGTTTATATTAGAAAAGATTTGCTGGTATAGTTATACTGAAAACCCTCCTAGTCTAAACGCAGGCTACATTGGCCAAAGGAGAGCTTTTGCGGTATAGTTAACTCTCCTCCCCGAATGACAGGAACTGTACTAGCAAAATACCTCTTCTGCTGGTACAAGCTACTTCTCTACTAGGGCTTTTACAGGCAAATCTTCTCTCGTGGTTTGTCCAAGATCGCACAGGAAGTCAATGACGGAGCGAGGATTTGAACCCAAGCCTCCTAGACCTGTGCCCTAGCCACCAGACCATGCTGCCTCCAGCCTACTAGAATTAATTGGAAATGAACCAATACCATCTCACTGGCAAAGACAAAAACCCACAATAAGTTTTGTTAACTCTCAGTATTGCAATAAGTAGGTGCTCCTGTTTGGTGAGGGCCGGCAATTCCTACTAATCTTTAATGCGCCCTCTGTTCAAACGGAAAAGGGCCTTTTCGTAAGACTGAATGGGCGGATCGTGCCCCCCTTCCCCCAACCCAGGTATTGACAGTGCGTTCAGATGACAGAGTTTTTGAGGTAAGTGGAAAGATGAAAAGACACAGTAATTAGGCCCTTAATGAGAGACTTTGCCAGAAAGCAAGGTCTGTCTGGAGCCTGAGGTGATTAAGATGTCCTTTTGTAACGCCAACAGACCCCGGTCGGCGGCGGGCAGGATCAGACCGGGGACCTCAATGCATGAGCCTCTACCGCATGAGCCAAAAGACAACTGGCTCTTAGCTAAGGCCGTAGAGCAGACCCATTTTAATCTCTCGCTAAGCGGTCTCGGTGCCACTAGCTGGGACAGAACACCACACCCAGGAGGTGTGTGGGTTACACTTTTATTTGTAGAATTAAGTTCATAATGGCTCTCTCTCATTCAAACCCAAGCAGAGATATCCTCCCCACCAACCACCCCACTCCTTTCAGCTAACCCGAATAGAACGCACACCAGTGTCTGATGGAGCTGCGTTACACTGGGAAGGGGAAGCTATTCAACTCCGAACAGCCAAGCAACCTAAGGGGACATCTTTACACTCAGTTAAGAGGATGTACACGGTATATGAACACAAGGCCAAGCTGCCAGGAACTGCCGCTGGCTTTGGAGGTTTGTTTTCGGGCCCGGTTTTCAGATTATTCAAGGGCCTGCAGGGCCAAGCCAGTCCAAAGCATCTCAGCACTAGATCTGAGCTGGAAAACAAGAATTCTGTTTTGTGAAAATCAGAGGTTCTGAAATGTGCTTTAGTTTTCCATTGGAACGATGAAACTCTTTGAAATTTTCCATCAAAAAACATGAGCCAACAGCTCTGTGGTTAGGTCACTCACCTGGGATGTGGGAGATCCAAGGTTTAAGTCACGGCTCTGAGTCAGGCTTTTGGTTGTTCTGGGAGCCCACCCCAATCCCGCAAAAAAAAAAAGAAATACCATCTCGGATATTCGACACCTTCCTGACGAATGTTTAATCAAAACTGCTACGTTTCCATTAGAAGTTTTGGTTTTGACAGATCGGATGTCTCAGACAGAAAAGTGTTTCATTGAAAAATTCCTGGCTAGCTCTGCTAGCCTCTCTCAAAGTCAGGCCTGAGGTACCTTGAGCGGCACTCAACATCTGCCACATTCAAAACATGACATGCCCAAACTCAGCAGCTCTTTATGAGAGCTTGGCAGTAGGACGTATTAGGAAGAGTGGGGTCAAGGGGCTACTCCTCCCCACAAAGATACATGTTGCATGGTAGATGGTGTTTGTCTTTGCCTCTTTTCTCCCCAAGAAAAAAGGACAAATGCCATCTAGAGCTGGTTGGGGGGAAGAGGGGGTAGAACAAAAAACCCAAACAATTTGGTAAAAAGGCTTCTTAAATAATTAAAATCTCTTTCATTTTGCAGGGTTCAACCCTCCCGTAATTTTTAATTGGTTGTTTTATCCTCCCTGACCCCCTTTTTTGGGGGGTGGGGGGAGAGGGGAAGGGTGGCCACCTGATTAAAAAAAATTGACTGGAAAAAAGAAAGCAGAAAAGTCAAAAAATGAAAATAACCCCACCAATTTTTTAAAAATCGTGAAAAATTTTAAACGGGTCATTTTTTAAAAACAAAAATTTTCCAAATTCAGAAAAAGGCTGACAAAAAACACGAGAAAAAACAGCCCCCTGCAAAAAACCACCACCACACATTTGTCAAGATGATGTCAGTCCACTCCAATACCCAGGACGATATTTGCAGGTCAGATTTGCCCTCTAACAAAACGGGCCACATTGAATGAACCTCAGACAGATCCGAGGGCTTGTCTGCGCTAGAAAGTTGCACGGCTTTCACTATCCCAGTATAATACCACCCAGCTCTTATAATTCTTTTCACCAGTAGGTCTCAACGCGCTTCACAAACTTTAATATACCGATTCTCACAACACTCCTGTGAAGTAGGGGAATGCCATTATCCCTATTGCACAGATGGGGAACTGAGACACAGAGAGGCTAAGTGACTTGCCCAAGGTCATGCAGGGAACCTGTGGAGGAGCAGGGAATTGAAACTAGGTCACGCATCTGCCGTCATCACTGGACCAAGCGGTATAACCCTTCTAGTGTGGATGCTGTTACACTGGTATAAAGGTTCTTATATACCAGTATAGCTTATTACTATATGGGAATAAGCTATACTGATATAAAGCACCTTTATGTCAACATTACTGTCTCCATTAGGGGTTGTACCTGTATTCTGCCAAACCTAGTTATTAGATTTTTAAAAAAAATTCTATGGATAATATAGATGTTTATTGCTAAGCATTTCCCCCCTGATTTTTTATCAATTTAAAGTTTCACAGTTCTGCAAAATTATGGTGGGTTGGACCAGGGGCGGGTGTGTATTTCACACAATTATTTAATGACCGTAGATGCTGAGATTCAGAAAATTAAAGCTTTATAACAGTAAAACACAAATTGTCACCATCACATGTCAAAAATACACACTAAATATCCTTAAATCAAACTTTAGTAAGTTCTCAAGCAGCATTTTTTTTTTAAACTTTCACCCATCTGTAAATTTCAGTAGTTATTGAGGGAAATATATATATATTTTTT